CTCGGGCGACGGCGGCGGCGGCGGCGGCGGCGGCGGCGGCGGCAGCAGCAGCAGTGGAGTGGGGAGCTGCCCACAATGCACTGCGCCGCCAGCATCAGCACCAGCCCTGACATCACCGCCCCACCGCCCGGCCCTTACATCACTGCCGTTTTTTCTGACATCACGTTCTACTCTGGTCCCCTAGACCCTGCTTGGGAACTCTCATGTGGGCCCGTTACGGCTGCCAGGTCCTCCTAACTGATCTGTGCCGATTACTTGGCCATCGGCGCCTTACCTGTTCCCAGAAACCTCACTTGTCTCCATCACCTTTTAGCTCGCCCACGTCCCAGAATCTCCCCTTCACTCCTCCCCTCACCCCATTAGCCTCACCTGATCCCTGATTTCATCCTCCACATAGCCATGGTACTTCCCTCTCAACCCTTTCCTCTACCTGTACCCATCTTTCCCATGTCTCTCTGTCGTGGTCCCTCCCAACAGCATCCCGCATCTGGACACACTACCCCTCCTCTGTCACCCTCTCCTTCTCGAGCACTTTCCTTCTCTCCTGGTTTATCTTCTCTCTTCGGCTCTTTCTTCCGACTGTTGACAAACCCTGTCATTGTTTCTTATTGCTTACCAAATAAGATACACACTCTTTATTGTGACATTAAAAACTCTTTCCAATTTGTGCCCATATTACTCTCCTGACAGATGGGAGTACTCGGTATTCTCTGAATATACTCTGCCTCTTTCCGTTCCTTCCTCCATGGCTTATCCCCTCTACAAATGCAGGAGATCATCTTCAACAACTATAATAATAGCAGTAGCTACACCTGCCAGAGACGTTAACTTATTTCATCTCTGCAAGTTCCCTGGGAGGTAAGAGCACTTACTGTGCAAAGTTAAAGACCCGAGTTTGGATCCTAGCACGCCTGTAAAAGGCCAGGAGCTGTGGTGCACATCCAGCCCTGGGGAGCAGCTAACTCCTTAGAGCTTGCTGGCCAGCCTAGCTCCAGGCGCAGTGAAAGAAGAGACCCTATCACAAAGCAATAAAGAGAAGAGTCCTCTGCACACAAACACACACACACACACACACACACTCTCACCTGGTAAGATGACCCAGTGGATGAAAGTGTTTGCCTCGGAGGCCTGAAAACCTAAATTCTGTTCTTAGAACTCCCGGTGGAAGGGGAGAACCAACTCCCAAAATATTGACTTCTGTCCTTCACATATGCACTAAAGCATGTGCACAGCATGACACACACGTGCACACTCGTGTGTATACATGTACACACATCTTGCACACATACTAATAATATGACAATAATAAATTTCAAGAGAAAAATGAAATCATAGTATTTTCAGGAAAGCAGATGCCATTGGAAATCATTACAGAAAGTGAATAAGCAGACGCAAAAAGACAAATACTTCATGTTTTCTGTCAAATGCAGGACCTCATCTGCAAAGGTTGTCCTCTGACCTCCACACATGTTTAATGGTTTGCAAGCACACACACACACACACACACACACACACACACACACACACTCAAATATATACATGAAAATATTTCTAAAACTGTGTGTGTCATGAAACTAGAAAGCAGCCCATGAAAGAAGCGGAAGAGTTCCTACGTGAGGTGGGAAATCGGTAACAGAATGCTGTGTGTGATAAGAAAGCACAGGGGGATGAATGGGAGGGAAGAAGGGGATCCAGGCAGTAGGGGAGGGTGCGTGAGAAGAGGGCAGTGGAGCAGGCATATGAACAAAACAAAATATAGTCACACATGTGTACAAAAACAGCTTCATGAGCCGGGTGTGGTGGCCCACGCCTGTAATCGCAGCACTCTGGGAGGCAGAGGCAGGTGAATCGCTGTGAGTTCAAGGCCAGGCTGGTCTACAAAGCAAGTCCAGGACAGCCAAGGCTACACAGAGAAACCCTGTCTCAGAAAAACAAAACAACAACAAAAAAACCCAGCTTCATGAAATCTCTCACTTTGTATACTAACATTTAATAAGAAGCTGTGGGGTGATGACGCAAGCGGGAAAAGCGGAGATTCAAACTAGGTCTGCAGTGTGCTTTAATCACAGAGCTGTGGGTGGCGACAAGGAGATGACTGACCAGCCAATCTAACAAAATTGGGGAGCTCCAGGTTCGTTGAGAGCCTCCCTCAAAAGATAAGATGGAGAGAAATAGAGCAAGATGAGTGATAAATCAACCATACACAGAGAGAGAGAATGAAAGAAAGTGAAAAAAAAACCAGTCTAGGCCCGTGTGCTGGTACACACATTTAATCCCAGCACTCAGGAGGCAGAAGCAGGTGGATCTCTGTGAGTTCGAGGCTAGCCTGGTCTACAGAGTGAGTTCCGGGACACCCAACACTACAGAGAAAAACCTTGTCCACCCCAACTCCCAAAAAATCTTCTCTGTGTCTTGGAGCTGGGATGTCACTCAGGTAGCCGGATGCCTGATCTATAAGCTCAAGATCCTGGGTGAAATCCCTGCTCCTCTTCTTCCCAGACTGACTACATTTCTACTTAATATGTTAAATTTTTATATTGTAACTTTGAAAATACGGAATCATTATAATAACTGCTTTAATGTGCTTATCTATTAACTTCATTGTCTGAGCAATTTCTGGATAATTTAATTTTAATTTATCTTCTGATCATGGGTCATGCATGTTTCTTTTTATTTCCACACTTAGTATTTTTCAACATTAAAATACATTTTTAAAATATAAAACAAAAACTAGGGTCTTGGGGATGGAGAGATGAGCTCAGCCGTTAGGAGCAGGTGTCACTCTTGTTTTTGTTATTGCTGTTTGGGGTTTGGTTTTCTTGTTCTGTTGTTGTTGTTGTTATCATTTGCTTTTATTTGAGACTTTTTTTTCATCCACACATCTCTCACTGGGTGCCCGGATTGCCTCTATACCTTGTCCAGCATGCACAAGGCTGAAAAGTATGTGAAATGCACGTGTTGCTTAGAGATTCTGATTTGAATGCCTCTAAAACAAGATTTTATTTATCTTACTTTATGTGGAAAGGTGTTCAGTCTGCATGGAAGGCTGTGCAGACTCCTAGTGCCTGAGGGAGGCCAGATCTGATCCCACAGAACTGGAGTCACAGGCAGTTATGAGCCACCACGTGGGTTCTGGGAATCGAATCCTGGTCCTCCGGAAGCCAGTGTGCTTAACAGCTGAGCCATCTCTCCAGCCTCTTGATTTATATTCCTCAGTACATACAGCCATAGCTCGAATAGCTGAGCCATATGGAGTTCCTTTTCAGTCATCTGAGAAATCTCATACTTTCTTCGTGAATCTCTGGTCCTTCTAAGGTGCCCAGTAAATGCATCCTCATGACCCAGCGGCACTCGTCTGGTTTGGGTGTTAGATTTTAGTTGTTGCTTTGTTCTCGGGATTGTTTGAGGCAGAGTCTTCTGTAGCCCAGGCTGACTTCAAATTTTCTATGTAGCTGAGCCTGGCCTTGAACTCCTGATCTTCCAGCCCCCCATCTCAAGTGCTGTAGGCATATGTCACTACACTTGGCTAATATTTTCCTTTTAATAAAACCCATTTTTGTTTTAATTTTATTTCAAAATGTCATTATTTGCTATGTGTATGAAGGCTTTGTCTGCATGTATGTTTGTGTGGCATGAACATGCCTGGTGCTGGCGGAGGCCAAAAGAAGGTTTTGGATTCCCTGGACCACAGAGTAGCTGCTAGAAGCCAAACTCATGTCCCATTCAGGAGCACCCAGTTCTCTCAAATGCAAAGCCATCTCTCTCCCAAATATAGTGACACTTAATTGGGTGTCAAGTACTGCAAGCCAGCTTCATGGCTTCTCATTTTGTCTTCTCAGCTCCAGGACACAGCCAGCCTCAGCCTCAGCCTCAGCTGTTCCGCCGTGGCCTGGAACCCTACAAACAATAAGCCGGCCCACTGTCAAGTCCACTGCGCTCGCTCGGTCTTTTCCCCACACCTGGCCCTACACTGCCAGACACCTGTTGCTGGAACATACTCAGTCCAGTTTTTTGGTTTTTATATCTAGCTACCCCTTGTTTGGGAACACAGCTGGTCTGGGTGTCAAAGAACATAAACGTGAAGAAAGACTGGAAGGAACCATCCCAGGGCGTTATTTCTGTCTTCTCTGAAGTATAAACGCGTTGACACATCACTGTACAGCGTGTGTCAGAACCATTCTTCCTGTTCTGGAGCTACGGCTCACTTCCAAAGCCAAACGGGGTCTAAAGGTTTACCTTCCTCACTGCTCCTTTTCATAGCTCCTTCAGTGCCCACTGAGCATTTTACACAAAATAAACACATTAAAAATGTGTCCCGAGTTATATATTAAAGGAGACTTAAAAGACAAAAATAATATGGGCTCAGTCGGCTGACCCAGCAGGTCAGTTCTTAACAACCTGGACTGGAACCTCAGGACTCACACGGTAGAAGAAGAAGGCAAAGTTTCACAAGTTGTTCTCTAATCTACACACACAAAAACACCACACACACACACACACACACACACACACACACACACACGAGGAGGGACTGGAGAGATGGCTCAGCAGCAAACTCAGCTTCACTCACCAGCACTCACATCAGGCTCTTCACAGCTGCCTGTGATTCCAGTGCCAGGGGATCCACTTCTAGATTCTGGTCTCTTCAGGTACTGCATGTTTGTGGTACACACACACACACACACACACACACACACACACACACACACATACATGTAGGCAAAGTCATAAAATTAAAAGAGATCTTAAAAACAAGACAGGGTCTCACTCTGTAGCAATGGCTGGCCTGAAACATCTCTGCCTGTGTCTCCTGAATGCTGGGATTGAAGGTGTGTGACTATGATGCTTGGCAAGAAAAGAAATCTTGAGGGAGAGAGGGAGTAGGAGAGAGAGGATAGTGCTAGAGGCGGCTCAGCAGTTAAGAGCAGCGGCTGCTCCTACAGAAGACTGGGGTTGGCTCCCGGTCCCTATGTATTGTCTCACAACTGTCTTGAACTCAAGTTCCAGAGGATCCAGTATGGTCTCCTGGCCTTCTGCTCCAGGCACCCACATGATGCGCAGACCTACATACAGGACAAACACCCATACACATAAAAATTTAAACATAAGTAAAAATATTTTTCCAAAGATAACCTTAAAAAAAAAAAGACACAAGCTGAGGGGGGTGGTGGACACAGGAGCCAGGCAGGGGGATTGCTGGGAGTCCAGGAGAACTAAGGTGACACAGAGAAAAAAAATGTCTCAACAAGCAAACAAATGACAGCAGAAAGACAATATAAACAAAGCTTAAAGTATGGTGTAAGGGGAGAAGCTGTGATAAAACCTTTAGCTGTGTTGAGTTTGGGTCCTTATTATGAAGATTAAGGCAGTACTTACCCTTGGAGGGATTAAAAGTGTGAAGGGTTACAAGCTGGATGAGACACATACAAACTTCTGGAGAGGAGGAACTATTTCCGGTCCCATCTCTCTTCTTCCCTTCCCTTCTCTCCTCTTGTTTACTGAGGATGTAACCCGGAGCCTCCAGCTCGATACACCAGTGCTCTGCCACACTTCACACCTGGAGACCCAGGTCTTGACACAAGCACTGGCAACGACAGCGTTTGTGCTATAATTATTATTTATTTGCGGTAATTTTTGTAGGCGAGTTATTTTATGGTTAAAACAAGAAGTTGAGACAGAGTCTGGGGCTGGGGTTCTAGGGACGTTGGTAAGAGCTTGCCTAGAACCCATGAAGCCTGGATGCTTCATTCCAAAGGGTTTACCAGACACAATGTGGGCAATGAGGGGGCTAAAGACAGCCCAAAGTAACGTGGCTGCCTCGGAAGTCCTGATCATCCTTGGAGAACCTTGAACACGAATACAGCTTTTTGTACGGAATTTCACTTCACATACCTTAACAAATTTTCCTTTTAATGTAGTTCTTTGACAATTTCATACCTGAAATTGCGTTCGGGTTACACACACTCTCTTATCTGGTTCCCACTCTCTCTTATCTCCCTCCCTTCTGCTCCTCCATACCAGCCGGTAGGTTTGTGAGTCATTTAGTTTAACCAGGGCCCTCTGGGTGACCACTGGATTAGAACTAAGGGCTGGAGCTGGTGGCACGACTGTTGATAGTTTCATTCTTCTGCAGACCCAGGGCATTCTTCACCCGCAGCCCAGAGCTGGTGGCCTCAAGGGCTGTGACTTCTCTAGACAATGGCATTTCACAGCTCTGCGGGAACTTGTAGGCCACTGGGTTGTTTTCCTTTTCCCTTCTGGTTTTATCCCAGCTGAGATGGGGGTCACCGAGGGTGCACATCTCAGCGTGCTCTGCACAGCCAGAGCGGCTAGCAGACTGTGGTAGGAGAAGGCCTGAGCAGGAGATCTGGTGAGGGGCAGGAGCAGGGTGGTGGCCATGGAACTAGCGGGGAGTCAAATTCTAGAACCTGGCCTGACAGTCTTGCCCAATTTCACATCTCTGCACACACAAATTAGAGCATCGCTTAGCCTCATCAGAAGTGTGTGTCTGCGGAAGATCTGGATTAAGACAGAGTCCCACGATTGGTCCCGGGAACGCAGAGTATTTAAATGTCAATGTGCCATCACCACGTACCATATCCCACCCCACCCCCACCCCCTCCACAGTTCAGGGATCACCCCGGAAGAGTGGGTGGAAAGACTGTGAGGGACCGAGGTCAAGACTGTAAGGGACTGCCATGACACAGCACTCCTGGACATGACAATGGGGTTACACACCACACACACACACACACACACACACACACACGAACTCATAGCAGCTCTGACCCGTCAGCACAAGGTCAAGCTGGTCCGAATCCCAGTCTGTGTGGAGAAGGGGCCATGACAATCGCAGTAGCTGAGGGGCGCCTAACAATTAATGGCTGCTGGGGCAGACAGGGCCATGTTTCTTCAGGGATGCAGACCCCTCGCTTGCTCCAGTAGGTGGGTCCACACCAGTGCAAACATAGGCAGTATTGAAAGACTCCGTAGGGTATTCGATTAAGGGAGGAGGGGACCTGGCGAGATGGCTCAGTGGCTGCTCTCTCAGAGGACGGAGGTGTGATCCTCCGCACCCTCATGGTGGCTCACAACAGTTCCAGGATATCTCATTGTGCTCTTTTTTGCTTCCTGGGGCAGCAGGCACACAGCACACAGACATACATGCAGGCAACACACACCCATAAGGTAGTAAAATAATGATAAAAGAGCACATGAATATGGTGTAAAGGTAGAAGGAGGATTGGAGGGGAGAGATTGGGGTAGGTTTGATTAAAACACACCACATACATGTGTGAATAATAAAATGTTTTCGATAAATGAACAAATTCTTAAATTCTGGAAAGATTAGTGAGAGCCGAGGATCACAGTGGCCGGTGGACCCGGCACAGAGCTTGAGAGCACTGGGGAGAGTCCTGGCCAGCTTGAGCAGCTGGGAGCCGGGGAGGAGCAGGTCGCGGGGAGGAGTCAGAGCTGATGGGCGGGTTGGCTCAGGAAGAGCCAATCCGGGAGGAGTGAGCTTGCAAAAGTTCTCCTTTTCCTCCGCGAGTCCGGTTCCCAGATCACGTGGTCGCGGCAGCGCCCCCTGGCGGCGGCGGGCGCCCGCGGCAATGGCGGCGGCGGCCGGGGAGGGGGGTCGGTGCTCCGTGTACTTCTGCGGGAGCATCCGCGGCGGGCGCGAGGACCAAGCACTGTATGCGAGGATCGTATCGCGGCTGCGGCGCTATGGGAAGGTGCTCACCGAGCACGTGGCTGCTGCAGAGTTGGACCCGCGCGGTGAGGGGGCGCGGGACCCGCGGCTCGCTGGCTGGGGGACCTGCAGGCTAGAGGGTCTCTAGGCTGGGGAACTTGAAGCCGAGGGGATCCGCAGCCTAGGGGGTCACTAGACGTGCAACCTAGGGAATCTGCAGCCCAGGAGACCTGCAAAGTAGGGGACCCACAGGCTAAGGGACATGCAGGCTAGGGGACCTGCTAGGAACTCTTAGGTTAGGGGCCGGCTGGCTGAGGAAGGCCCTGGCTTATGCCTCTCCTGCTCAGGTCAAATGCCCCTGCAGCATCCCGGCGAGGAGCTGGCCATGCCGGTCACGGCACACTGAAAGCGAATGAGAGCCCAGACCCAGCATTCGGCTAGCAAGGCTTTGAAGAGTTGATCTGAACTCCTACCGCTCTTCCAGTTTGAATGTTGTACCTAGAACTCTTGTACTTCTGCTAAAAACAAACCTTTTACGTAGCTCTCCCTTTCCCCTCGCAAGAACAGACTCATCAGCTCTGGGCTCTGATGTAATTCCAGGAGAATCTTTTAAAAAAAAACAAAGCATCTCTAGACAGAAGTGTGAGAGGACCGGAAAGGACCCGTTTGCACTTAAGGTTGGCCGGCTCATGGTGGTTGGTTCCTAGTCCTCGCCCTTAAGTGTGAATCCCAGCACTCTGGAGGTTGAGGCAGGATGAGTTCCAGGCCAACCTGGGTTAGGTTAGACCCTGTCTCAAAGAAGAATGAGACAAAAACAAAGCCCACGGAATGTGATAGCCTGGGGAACAACTTTTGAATCTTTTTCCCCCATAGTTTCTTTTTTTTTTAAACAGGGTCTCTAGTGTAACCCACTGTGACCTCAGACTTGCTTTGTAGCAGCAGGTACTCCTGAGCCTCCTGTCTCTGCCACCCAGGTGCGAGAAGTACAGGCACGTGCGTCACACTCACTGGTTTTGTTTGTTTGAGATAGGGTTTCTACATATCCCTGGCAATCAGGGAATTTACAGTCTAGCCCAGGCTGTCTTGGAACTCAGAGATTCCCCCAGCCTCGGCCTCGGCTGGGGTCATAGGTCTGTGCCGCTGTCCTCAGCTCATCAGTGAGCTTTTTGACAAGGTGTTTCTGGCCTGCCGCCAGCACAGGCTCACTGTCCTGAACAGCAGCATTTTCACCCTGTGATCCTGACTGTCTGACCCCAGATATGCCTCTTGGGCCTTTGGCCAAGCGCCCAAGCGCCTTTCCCCAGTCGCCTGGATTCATAGAGTCCAGGCTGTCCACACACTCCTCCTGCCCCGACCATGCATTGCCCCGGATTGCATTTCTCTCGTGGCTGTTCCACTCCTCACCCCTTTGTGACACACTCCTCTCCTGGGCTGGCCCTTAGAGGTGCCGGAGCACCTTACCTACCTGAGCAGGGTAGCCAAGAAGAGCAGCAAGAGCACGGGGGTTACCGGGGACTGAACTGGGGTGGGGAACATCATTGGCCCACTCTCCCGCCACCACAGGGGAGGAGGCTGCTGGGGGCGACGAGCTCATCCATGAGCGGGACCTGGCCTGGCTGCGGCAGGCAGATGGTGAGTAGTCCCCCCCCTCTGCGTACAGGCCCCTCTGATGTTAGTTCCTGGGATATCTCTGGCCTCTGTACCTAAAGGGACTCCTTTCCCACCACCGGTTCACGGCCATCCTGTCCTTACAAGTCCCAGGCGGCAAGCCTTTTCTTTCTCTCCAGTGGTCGTGGCTGAAGTGACCCAGCCATCTCTGGGTGTTGGCTATGAACTGGGCCGGGCAGTAGCTCTTGGAAAGCAAATTCTATGCCTGTTCCGACCACAGTCTGGCCGAGGTGAGTCTTCCAGCCTGGGATGGCTTACCCCTTCCTGGCTTTCTGGGAACCCCATACTGGTTTCTTCCTTTCCCAGGGGGCAGGGGCAGGGAGCAGAGTGGGGAACGTGGAAGGAAGTCAGTTTCATTCTCCCCTCCCCAGTGCTTTCCGCCATGATCCGGGGAGCAGCAGATGGCCGGAAGTTCCAGGTGTGGGACTATGCAGAGGAAGAGCTGGAGAGCATGCTGGAGCGATACTTCGAAGCTTATCCTCCTCAGGGGACAGCTTCGCCCAGCAACCCAAGTGCCTGACTTAATCTTACTTTATTAAAACAAACAAAGAAAAAATGTGTAAGATTGATCTTTTTATGCATGTTTTAACTGTGTATGTAACCGAGTGCATACCTGGTACCCACAGAGGTCAGAAGAGGGCACTAGATTCCCTGGAACTGCCATTAGAGATGGTTTTGAGCCACCATGCTAGGACCAAGGACCTCCGCAAGAGCATAAGTGCTCTTAACTACTGACCCTTCTCTCTGGCCCTGGCCCCACTTTATTAAATCCTGGCTGGACACTTCTCTGGAATCATTCCTGCCTTAGCCTCAGTAGTAAGACAGGTTCATTCAGCTGAGAGTGGAGGCACACACCTTTAATCCCAGCCCTCGGGAGGCTCAAGCAGATGGATTCCCGAGTTTGAGGCCGGTGTGGTCTATATAGTGAGTTCCAGGACACTCAGAGCTATGTAGAGACTCTGTGTCTCAAAAAAAAAAAAAAAAAAAAAAAACCTATCCATAGTGGCAGGGCTGGGACAAGCCCTTGGTAGCATCCATTTTCCATCCCACTTCACCTTAGAAAATAGAAGGACCACTTAAGAGTAGGTCCCTAAGAGGAGGGCACTTACCGTGCCCTTCGGGTCCCTGGAGAACACCTGAAAGGAAGGGGTGGGGAGGCCAAGTATTAGGTGGATCATCGTCCTTCTTATTTCTGAACCTAGACCTGAGCTTTCCTTGTTGTGTCCAAATGAGCCTTGGGCTGTTTCTGAGGACAGAAAAGTCTGGAAGTCTAAAGTAAACAGTAAAGACAGGAGGGGCAGGTGAGCTGGCTCAGTGGGTGTATGTGCTTCACACCAAGCCTGAAGACCCGAGTTCTATCCCAAGCACCCACGGAGAAGAGAACCGACTCCCGAAAGGTGTTCTCTGACCTCCATACATACCACCATAGCATGTGCTCTGGTGCTCACACACATGTAACCTTAAGAACACTGTTGGAAAGAGCGACAGTGGCTGTCAGGAAACACCAGGGAGCTGAGCCCGTGAAGTATGTGAAAAAGTTTATTCAGTAAACAGAAAGTGCTGCAGACCCTGGGAATCCCCTCTCACATGACAGTGGGAGGGTGACCTCCCCACCCCTTCCCCCCAATGCCCCCCACCCCTGGGCCCTGCTCATGGGGCAGGTGTTTCCTGCTCCACCCCACTCAGTCATAAGACTCATCATCATCATCCTCATCCCCAAAGAAGAAGGTCTCTCGGTCTAGGTTCTCAGATTCCTCATCGTAAGAGAAGCTGTCATTGTCTAGTTCCTCATCAAACTCGTGCTGCCACTCAGGCACATCCTCCTCCTCTTCCTCTTCCTCCTCCTCATCTGCTTCCAGCCCCGAGGAGCCCAGGGGCCTAGGGAGAGCCACCAAGCTCAGCCAGAGAAGCCCACTTCCCTGCTGCCCTCTCCCAGGCTCCGCCCACTCTACTCACTGACTGCTGGGCACGTTGGATCCTTTCACCTCCCTGGTCTCTACTGATGGACTCTGCAGTCCAACCCGGAAGTCCTGACAAGGAGATAGGAGGGTCTGAGCAGAGGGGCAGAGGCTCTGGGGCCTCTGGGTTGGCCTCCCTTCCACTGAGGACCCCTGACAGCCAGACTCCCATGAGCTCTCAGGCCTTTGTGCAGCTTCACCTCCTGTGAGTCCCCAGGGGAGAGCCAGTGGTGGGCACCCAGCCTGCACTGCACAGGAGGCATCATGCCCAGTTACTAAGTACTCAGCAAAGGACCTAAGAGCAGGGTTCATAGTTAGGGCTCCACACCCGCGCACCAGAGCTGGAAAGATGCTTGCAGATCCCATACTCTGGAGACTCCCCCAGCCCTGATCCCCACGTGCTAGAGTGTGGTCTGAGAAAGCTCTGACGAACTGATGAGCACTGGCCCATCATGCTCCTGCCTTGGGAAAATCTGCTCCTCTGAAAGAAACCCCAGGAGGTTAAGTGACAGACCATGCTGGCCCAGGCCTCCTGAAGACGGGGTTTCTCTGTGTAGCATTAGCCATCCTGGAACTTGCTTTATAATATACCAGGCTGGCCTGGACCTCAGATCCACTCGCCTCTGCCTCTGCCTCTCCAATGCTGAGATTAAAGGCGCGTGCCGCCGCTGCTGGACCTCTGTAACAACCCCCCCCCCCCGCCATTGCCCCTCGGAGGCATTTCCCTCAGGGCTCCCCAGGCAGGACTGCACGGGGCAGTACCTGGGTAGAGTGCTGGAGGATGGCCAGCAGCCTCTCCTGGATCCTCCTGAGCAGCTCCGTGCCTGTGCTGAGGCAGTCAGGCCGCAGAAGGCGCAGGGAGGAGGCTAGGTCCTGACAGCGCAGCAGCGTCTCCTCTGCAGAGCAAGCACAGGACTTTCTCTGTCCACCCCCCCCCTCCAATCCTTCCTCCCACCAACATGTATGGAGCATCTACAGAGTGCCAGGCATGGCTGCCAAAGCTCCGGGCACTCACTGCCCAGGGGCAGGGAGCAGAGCAGCCTGTCGGGCCCTTGTGTCGTGGAGAGCTGAGAGAGTGAAGGTGGGGCCCTGGCTGGCTAGGCACGGGATGCCTAGCCAAGGGAAAAGGACTGCGGGCGCTGTGGCGCCAGGCTCACCGAGGAGGATCTGTAGGGCATTTGTGTGCAGCTCTAGGGTCTCGGTCTGCTGTTCTACCACATCCATGGACTCCGTGTCCTGACTGTAGAAGCTGTACACACAGGCGTAGGCCAGCACCTAGGGGAGCCCGCGCCAGGGCATGCAGCCTGAGTTCTGGCTCCTCCACCCAAGCCCCCTCAGCCCTCTTGGCACACCCCCCCCCTGCTTGCCCCCCCCCCCCCCCCGCCCCCCGCTACAACCTTTCGAGCCTGCTCCAGGGCCAGGCAGGCATCCTGCAGGAAGGTGAAGGATTTGGGCGGGGGCACCTCATGGATGGCAGAGGCCTGGTTCCGCAGGTTCACGGCAAACTCCTGTGTGGGGCAGTCACAGCCCGTGAACTCTGCCCTCCGTGCACCTCCCTGCCAGGCCTCCCAAGGCAGTCACCCAGCCCTCTGCTGGACCACTGCCCACGGCTCACCCGGGCCTGGTGGTGGAACGTGCACCTCTCGTTATAGTCCTGAAACCGCTTCTCCTGACGAGCAGCTTTGCTTACCTGGTGAGGATATGTGAGAGGGCTTCTGGGTGCTTGTTCTGACAGACCGGGGTTCTGGGAAGGACCACTATCCACGATGCCCCTCTCCCTGCTACCTGCCAGAGCTGCTGTGTCCTCACACTCCCCCCACCTCAGCACACTATCCTGCCAGCTGTGGCCACATGCCCCAGTGGGTGGGACAGTCATGCAGTCCTGACTGTGCCCTATTACCAGCCTTCCTTTCCATGGGAATGTGGGGTGGTCTCCAGCCACAGTGTTAGGGCAGGCCCACTCACATGCCTTGCTCTGCTCTGATGCCTGCTTGCCCTGCCATGCTCGTTCTAGGCTTTCTTTGGTCACCTGGGGGGGAGCAGTATTCCCAGAACAGAGTTCTAAGAGCTTCAGGCCTCAGCAGCTCCTGTCTATCCCCCACTGGACCTTTCCTGCTACCCCACTGTTCTGAGGACACAGCTCTGCCCCGGAGCCAAACGCAGCTGGTCTTGAGTGGCTGTGCCTCTGACTCCCAAACAGCCAGACCCTTACCATGGCAGAACAGTTGTAGTAGTCCTTGTGGCTTGGCTTCCAGGACTTGAGGCAGCGCCAGCAGAACCCATGGTTACATCTGGCACAGGTCATGCTATGGAGGATTCGAGCTGGTCAGAAGGCGCCTGCCTCCAAACAAGGGTACCCTGCCAGGGTACCCAGGGGCTAGACACCCCAGTGACAGGCTTTTCCAGCTGCCCCCAGGCTCCATCTGCCCAAGCCCTGCTGGGGACGGCCTTGCTTTGTGTTGCCCAACATGGTAGACTCCCGGGGACACTGAACGCAGGCAGTGGATTTGCTGAGCTTCACGGTAAGCTTGAGCCTCTTCCTTGCTGCCCGGCCTCCCCCACAGCATGCCCCCAGAGCCCCTGCTTACTGCAGACACCCCTCGTTCTTCTCGATGGGCGCCTGGCAGCTGGGGCAGCGTTTGGAGATGAGCTTAGCCAGGTGCTTGCTCTGGGCCTCCACACTCATACCATCGTAGTAGCCGCCGTCATCCACCCACTGGGACATGTGGCCACAGCTGGCAGGGAAGTGTGCCTAGGGTGAGGACACAGCCAGCTCAGGCGGGTGGCAGGAGACAGGCCACCTCACCTCTCTGTGTGCGTGAGGAGAGGGGCTGGGCAGGGGAGAAGTGAGTCCTTGCTGGGCCAGAGCAGAGCACCCACCTCGGGGAAGCTACAGCTGAAGCACGAGGCCCAGCCGCACTTGGAGCAGGTGGTGCCACTGCCCAGGCCCTGGCGGCACAGGATGCGGTCACAGCCCTGAGGATTGGTGCACCAGGTCAGGTTGGAGCAACTCCCCACATAGCCTCGAAGGAGGGCCTTCTCGTACTGTGGGCAGAGGCAAGCGCGGCCGCGATGAATGACGGGAGCCTCTCCAGGACACTCCAGAGGCTCCTAGCATCTCAAGACCAGCCTGTCTTCTGGGGCCCTGGGGCTGGGGCGTACCTTGGAAATGACCTCGGGGGAGGAGACGATGTTCCGGATGAAGGCTCCGGTGGGCTGGGCGGGACAGTCGGCGATGGGGCAAGTGCAGTTCAGCACAAAGTTCTGTTCGATCCGAGTAGTCAGGTACTCATTCCAGCAAGACTGCCAGTGGGAAAGGAGGGGCTGGTCAGAGGCAGGTGCCCTGGCCACTGTCGGGACGCTTACCCTTCACAGCCTCGAGGAAGACCAGAGATGGCTGGCTCCTAGGCCTGCCTCACAGCCTACCCTGCCTTCCAGACTCCTTGGTTTCCTGGGATGGGAACAGAATGTAGTTGTCTTTGAGAATGTGTGGGGCTCAGGCATTGGCCTAACCACAATCACTATCAGATGGCCAGGGAAGAAGTAGATAATCAACTGGAAAGGATCTAAGACATGGAAAGATCAGTGTTCGAGGGCTTA